CCAGGCAAAATCATCCATCCCACAACTCCCACAAACCCTACCCTAGGCAGACAAAAATCAGACCCAATGATTCAGACCCAAAGGGAGCCATGTACCCTCAGGAGAAAGCTGAAGAAAACAGAAGAAATAAAGCTGTCCAGGACAGCTTCCAGTACTTTTATCTCTCTGACTTAATTTTTCCACTTGGCAAAACTGGCATGACTTCTTTTCACTAGAGGTGACTGATGTTCACTCAGCTCGGCAGACAGCCTGGAATGTTTATTTATAGGGCAATCTGGCAACTTCAGAATCAACAAGAGTGACCAAAATGTTCACATGAACCTACATTCTCTGATTGTCCTTCACAAAATAACTGGGCCTACAGAAAGCATAGAATTAACAACAGTAAAAACTCTGAATGTTCTCCACTAAGGAAACAAAAGCAATCAAACCAGCCACTAACTAAAAACCTTATTTCACTGTGGCACTATAGCACATTATAAGCAAACAGTGGAGCTTCATAACAGAGCCAGGTTCCTGAAGTCTGCCTTGGTGTGAACTTCATGAACTTCTTTAACCGAAAGGCTGTATTTCCTCACTGACAGAATGAGGAAAGCAACATCACCTATCTTAGAGGTACACTGTAGACAGATGCTGGTGGCTCAGGCCTTTAATCCCAACTCCTCAAGAGGCTAAGAACTGGAGGATCAAGGTTTGAGGCTCCAAGGCCACAAAGTTTTCTATACTCCATCTCTCAAATAAATCAGCAAAAATCAAGGATGGAGGCATGGATCAAGTAGTGAAGTGCCAGACTGAAAAGAACAAAAGCCCTGAGTTCAAGCTCTAGTACTATCCAAAAAACCTCCTCAAACCAAAAACAAAACAACAAAAAACCCCCAAAAGCTTGCCCAAAAAAGAAAAACAAATAGAGCACTAACTAAACTGCAGAGCACATGGTAAACAACCAGTCCTTCAGAAATGTGCTGGTTAGGGAAATGACTGTTTCCTTTGTATTCCCAGAGTGAAATAAGTCACAGGGTTGAGGGAAAGATGCCCTTATGCAAATCAGCCTGGGGAATTTTGCTAAACAAGTGTGCTCATGTGTATAATCCTGACTATTCTAATAATTACTCCCGGACTCCTGACTCAAAGAAGGATCTCTCAGTTTTCCAAATCCTAATACTTTTGATCCAAGCTTGCACACTGCTAAACTTTAATCTTTACAAGCAAGGGGAAGGAATTTTACCTAAGACGGGGAAGCAACGTTAGTTAAACAGGCTGAAGTCTTTGGTGGACCAAGAGGAGGAAAACAGCAACACAAATTTTCTTTTGGGAGAGGATTTTCATGAGAGTCCAGGGAAGAAAAATCCAAATACAGATGTATTTAATGTCCCAATGAGACTAGTTTGGAATGCAAGAGTCAGAGGCAGGCGACTTGGATATGGTTGTGGAACCTGGCAGAGTCTAAGCTCTTCTCTTCCAGAGTTCAGTGACATGTGTGTCATCCTGTGATTTCGCAGGTCTGTATCCCATGATACAGTTCTCAAGAATGCTGCTTCTCCCAGGAATTCCATGGTATTCCATTCATTCACTCCCCTGTTCATCCAGTCATAGAAGACCTACCATGTGCCTGACATGCTGGTAGATGCTAACGTATCCTGTTAAGAGTTCTATTGAGCTCATGCCTGTCATCCAAGCCACTTAGGAGATTGAGATCTGAGGATCATGGTTCAAAGTTAGCCAGACAGAAAACTCTGTCAGACTCTGATCTCCAGTTACCAGCAAAAGTCACAGTGGAAGTATGGTTCATGTGGTAGAATGCCAGCCTTGAGTCAAGAAGTCAAATGAGAGCATGAGGCCCTGAGCTCAAGCCCTAGTACACACAGACACACAGACACACACGCACACGCACATGCACACACAGTTCTGTAAATATCAAACATAGTGCTAACCATTTAGTACATTATTCAGTGCTTACTGCATAGAAAAATGACACAACAAATCAGAAATGAGTTAAACTTTCAAGTTTCTTGTTGTGTGTGGGGTTGGCATGTGTGGGGGTGGGGTGCGCATCCTGCTTAATGAAACAAGCGTGCACCAAAGGCGAGGAAAGCAAGCAGAAGCTCTGCAAAGCACACCTCCACCACCGCTATTTATTTAATGAATACTCCTGGGCACTCTTTAAATTGAAAGATGGTTCATTAGATTTGTGCATCTGCCCTTCTCAGCAATCTGTTGTGTTTCTGATGAAGGCAGGAAAAAAAAAATCAGGAATGTGTCATTTTCCAGAATGTTATGAGCAACTGAGCTTCCAATGATTACAAAGTCATAAAGGGCTCAGGCTGGGTGATTCTGAGAAAACAGTTTATCTCAATCACTCTCAGTCAGGTGTTATCTCCTATTCCCATTCATTTTGGAAATTTCAAGCACTACTCCTTGTATCTTTTAAACTAATCACCTAATACCTCATCTCCACACTATAAACATTAGCATGTTGTTAAGGTACCAAAACCCAACAACAACAATCCTTTCAAAACTGGCCAAAAGAAAAAAAAAAATCAACTCCCTGGTTTTGTTTTGTTAAATCAAGTAGGTGACCATCTCCTCTCTCGGGGCTCCGCCCTACCGCTGCCCACCACCACCTGACCCAGGGGCTGGTGACCATATTGTCATGGATAAACAAACTCTAGGATGGCCAAAAAAAAAAAATCCCTTACAAAACCTTTGTTTTTCTCTCCAAACCTACTACATAAGGCTAATAAAAATTAATCTGTCGGAAGTGGCGCTGTGGCTCTTGCCTTGGAGACTTTGCCTTGAGCTGAAGAGCTCAGGGACAGCGCCCAGCCCACGACTGACAAAAAAAAAAAAAAATTAATTTGTCACTCTCACTCCTTAGCCAACACTTATTGCCCACAAAGGACTCCTGGGTGAACATGGGACACAAACACGAACAGCCAAGTGCCCCTGGCCTCCCAGGCATTACGCTCCATGAGGCCAGGCCGGCAGTGGTCCCAGCGCACACATCAGGGCATATGACAGAGGTGCTCTCTGAAGAAAGCGTATATTTACAGACAGTGCCTTGAACAAAAAGAGCCATGTACTTGAGCTTTCAAAAAGTTCTTTTTCTTTCTTATGGAGAAAGATGATATAGAGAGAAGATTATTCCTATTATATTTAGTCAACTGGTCTCTAAAATCAGTCTTGGGCAAAGAAGTGGCCAAGAAACCTTGGAGTGCCATGCTGGCTTTGCCACGTATTGTGGCTTATGCTCATGAGCCCAGCTACCAAGCACGTCTAAACAGGATCTTAATCCAAGGTGGGGTGAACACATGCACAAGACTCTATTAAAAAAACAACGAAAACAAAAAGGGCTGGGGGCATGACTTAAGAGATACGAGTGCTTGCCCAGCAAGTGCAAGGCCCTAAGTAAAAACTTCAGCATCACCAGAAGAAACAAAGCAAAGTGGGCTGGGAAGGTGGCCTATTGGTAGAGTGCTTGCCTCGCATGCATAAAGCCCTGGGTTCGATTCCTCAGCACCACATACACAGAAAAAGCCAGAAGTGGCATTGTTGCCTTGAGCAAAAAGAAGTACAGGGACAGTGTCCAGGCCCTGAGTTCAAACTCCAGGCCTGGCCAAAAAAAAGAAAGAAAAAAGAAACAAAAGCAAAGGGGGTAGAAGGCTAGTGAAAAGCCAAGTGAAGAGAGGTCAATCATGCCTTTGAGGTTGAGAAATCTGATCCCTGTCTTCACATCTCCTTGATCTGCAGGTCTGGAATTCACTAGTTATTTCAAGTGGTAAAAATGTGTAAGACTAAAAGTTAGGTTTCTCACATTAATCTCAGAAAAATACATGAGTCGTAATAGGCTCAGGGTACAGGGTATTCTGTGGGAGAGGCTGCCCGCTTGACTCCTACAGAGCCCTGGCTTGGAGCACTGCTGTGGCTCCTCTGAGGTGGGTAATAGAACACGGGGGATGGTGCTTGCCCCTGAGGCTGAACAAGGTACACAAATGAAGGAGTGCAGCCAGAGAATCACCCGGATGTAAAGTGAGCTAGAGTGGCAGCCCATGGGAGACAGTGATGTCATCTGCTTCTGATGTCAGTAAAGAACAGATGGTGGCTGATCCCTATTGGTCACAAACAGAACTCTTCACTTAGGGGCTCTACATCTCAAAGCAGCCAACCGAAGGAGGATAACAAGAATCATTAGCCAACAGGTGCCTACCCGACCACATACATTGCTACTGTGCTATTACTAAAGTATATAAATGTACATGCATCTAAATATGTATGCTGTTAACACGCTTATATAGTTATTATTGGCCATTTACAAGGCAGAAATTCAGTTTTCACAGATTCCAAAAGATGTCAGGAGCATATACCCACTCTCTGAAAGACTCAGCTGCAAAACTTCCCACTTCCTCCCACAGACGAGACCATGACAACCGTGAAAAAAATACCTCCCTCCCTGACGCCACCTCCCTTCACTGTTGCCATGACAAAGAAAACTACCAAGCACCAGCAGCTCTGCCGAGGATGGGAAGTCCTGATGCCGAGCTTGCAGGTCGGATTCTCTCCCGGCCCGAAAGCCATGTGTGCAAGCCTCACAGGACAGACTGACTAGACTTTTGGTCCAAGTGTTTAAGTATTTCTTCCACAACTGGTAAAACAACTGGTTTGCTTTTGAGAACTTACCATCCTTCAAGCCTCTGCCCTGGTTCAAAACTGTTAGACATCTACAAACCATATACATTGATTTTCTTTTCTCCTGGAGACACATGGGAAAACACGGATGCACAGTATTTGGACTTGGCTTCAGGGTTGGTTTCTCGGCAGGAGACATGACGGCTGTGAGATCTGTTCACACGCGGTACAGGGTGGAGAGCAGGACGACTGCGCCCTCCGCGTCTCAGAGGCATCTAGAGTGGGGTGGAGACACCTGCCTGCCCCGCTGCTGGCCCCGCTCAGGGCCTCTGTGGAGCGTCACCCAGTGCGCAGGGCTGCTTCATTCCCACACATACCAGCAGCGTGAAGCTGTGCTCTGGCCGCATCCTGTACTGCTGGACGAGCCGCTGTCGGGTCACGCTGGGGAGCTCAGGGAGCATGGCCCGGATCTGGTCGATGTCGATCACTTGCCGAGGGTCTGCGCCTTCGGGAGGCAGAGACGTGGTGTCGTACAGGACCAGAGGAGGCAGGTTGGGCTCTGGCATAAATCTAGGCAGAGAGCAGACAGAACCTGAGCCTGGACTATCTCAATGAATTAGAACAGAAATCTACTGCTAAAGTGAATGCTTTGTACTGAGGCCATACTACTTGCAAATGTTTTCTTGGAAAAATCCTCAAACCTGCCACTGTGTACACACACAGAGTAATGATGAGAAAAAGGAGTATCCTAGAGCTGAGCTCGCCTCTAACTTACAATGTGGATAAATTATATATCGAAAAACAGCTTTAAGGCCAGGTGCTGGTGGCTCATGCCTGTAATCCTAGTTACTCGGGAGACTGAGATCTGAAGATGGAAACCAATCTGGGCAGGAATGTCCATGAGACTCTTATCATCAAGCAACCAGCCAAAAGCTGGAAGTAGAGGTAGGGCTCAAGTGGCAGAGTGCCAAGAATGCCAGGTTTGGGTGAAAAAAGTAAGGAACAGTGCCCAGACCCTGAGTTAGAGCCCCAGAACTGGCACCAAAAAACAGCAGCAGCAACAACAACAGAAAAACCCCAGGTTTGAAACAGTAAGACGAAATGACAACAATTTATTAGGAAGAAAAATGACTTCCCCGATTATGAAGTTTCTACTATCAGCAGGGTTTGTGTAATAGATGAAAAACATGGCAGGGGGGAAGTAGAAACCTTTCCTTCTTGGGAGGCAGAAGAAACGAACAGATTCTTCCTAAGTTATGGGTAGGCTAGAAGGGGCGAGTAGGAGGATCCTAGGGCATTTTAGGGGCAGAGAAATTATTCTGATGATTCTGTAATGGTGGACGCATGTCATCATACAGATGCCAAAACCCAGAGACTGTACAACACTGCACCAAATGAACCCTACTTCGTGTGAGCTATGGAATTTAGTTATCAATCAGGTACCAATTAGCCATTCATCACTTGAAGGAACACATCTCATTAATTCAAGAGGTTGGTCATAGGAGACTGTGCAAACGTGAGAAGTGAGTGGACAAGAACTCTGCACTTTCTACTCAACTTCACTAGAAGCCTACAACTGCTCTAAAAGTAAAGCCCATTATCTTTCAGTGTGGAAGCTTTGTCAATACCTAATGTTGTGAAGTGAGGATGCCTCTGTTCTATTCCAGTACTGTTTTCTCTCTGTTGTAACTGTCAAAGGGCTCTGTAAGAGCAGGTAATGACAAACAAATGGTGTCCAAAGTTACTAAACTAGAACTGCAAACAGCTTATCAACTCAATGTTAAATCTCTCCCATAAATCAATCTGACTTCTGTGAAGTTAAGAAGAAACCAAAGGGAGGTTTCTGGTTTAAATGGCTGGAGTAGAAACCATTTTCTGAGCTGAAAGTTACTCAGTAAGAAAGCAGCACAAATACCATAGGGAGCAGCAATACTGAAGAACAAAGGAAGGTCCTGGGAAAACAGTGTGAACCTTAAAGATCACAGCAATTAAGACAACCCTGATTTTGACAGACACATGAATGATATAAGTCCTTGGAGTGAAGGCTACATTTGATCCTCACTGTGCAGCAATAGCTGTACTTTTGTATTCTGCACCTCACAATGGAGAGGTGGGTGACTTTCAACAACTTAAAACTGCCATCTTTGCAATCTGTTAACCTACGGGAAAGGGTAAAAGGCTCAATTTTGTTTGCAATCTATTTTAAAACTGTGTTTACTATTTATTTGTAGACCTCTTGTTAAGTCCAACTTTTAACCTCCTCAATGATGGAACTAAACCCAGAGTTTCAAGCATGCTAGGCATGAGCCATACCCTCAGCCCCCAACTTGTTTAATTGTCAATGACAGCATATCATCCAAGGGTTAAAGGGAACTTCCATTAAGTTATATATTTCTTTTTTCATTTCCTTCCAAGGAATTTCAGTGTATTACAGACTTCACTGCTGAATGTAAGCATAAGAACACCCTAAGCTCCAACCTTAGCTGCCATCCTTTTAACTCAACTACAACCAGCATGGCAGGGAATTCAGAAATCACGTATTTTCCAACATTTGAATCCTATTAAACAAGAAATTCTTAGGCTACCAAACCAAGAAGACGTTTTCTTCCAGTACACATAGAAAATAGGAACTCTTTTTTTTTTTTCCTCAAGGTTACAACAACAAACATTCGTAACTATTCTCCAGGATCATTATATGTTGATTTTCAGATGGATTCGAGATACATCTTTAGCACCAAATATACAGTGGTGGTTTGTGATACAAGGAATAATCAATCACCTGTAGTCCTGTTTTCCTTCTTTATCTCTCATTGGCACAGTGCACCTACAATAGTTAAAGAAGAAAACATTAAGTAAACACTAGCAATGGCTAGCCTGCCTATAGAGAAGGGTTCAGCTCTGAGCATCTCCCAAAGGCAAGGTTTAAAGGTATGTCCCCTTGGGACCTCTTCCATCCTCCTGGGAGGTGAGAGAAACTGCAAGAGGTGGGGCCTAGTGGGAGGTCTTTCAGTCACTGAAGCAATCTCCCATCTCTCTTGTTTACTGGCAATGAGGTAAATAGTTTTGCTCTGCCATGTGCTTTAGCCATGAGGTGCCACCACAGGCCCAACAGGGACAGTGAGTCATGGACTAAAACCTCCAAACTCTCAGGTGTTTGTACATTAATAAAAAAACTTACTGACGTAGGTTTCTCCTATCAGTAATAAAGACAAATTCAAGCCCTTCGGTTTTCTGTAAGAGGCAGTTAAAACAGAATAATGGAAAAAAAAAAGTATCTAGGAAGATAAAAGAAATAGCTTCAATTTCCCCAGATTTAGTTTCATATGGGTAGCACTGGGGATAGAATTCAGGGACTCATGCCTGCTTAACAGGCACACAAACACTGAGCCATACCCTAGCCAACAGCTAGAGTTTGAGCTGGCTATATGCATATATGCTAGAAACCTAGCATAGCCAGCTAGGTTTCTAGCATATATGCATATAGCCAGCTCAAACTCTAGCTGTTTTCAGTATTCTTCTTAAAGGATAAACCCCTCAAATTTCTGAGTCAGAAAATCAGGGTCACAGTTGTCTCCACAGATAAAGGCATCCTTAGGTTCAGGCTTTGGCTCTCCTCTACTGTAGCTGAAGCTGGTAGAGGTTGAACAGTATATTTAAGGGAATAAAAATTCTTGCCTGGTGATCTGGAAGCAACAGAAAGTCTAGGATCTGAGACCAAGCATTTCTGTAGAAGGCTGGGGCAGTTTAAGTCTCGGAAGAGCTTCTCTAAAAGAGGAATGTTATATCCTTATAGGATGCAGGATTTTCTCGCTTTGCCAGTGCAGAGAACTACCAATGCAAACTTACCCCAACTTGCAATCAAATGAGCGAGTTTCATTCAGAATTTCACCTCCATTCTCAAGTTCACTAATTTGCCTCTGAATTTCATAGTCTACAAAAAACACATCCACACCCACACAAACACAATAAATTAGTATAGTTTGATTATACCTTGCATCCATTCAGATAATAATTAGAAACCTTTCTCAGTCTTGCAAGTAAAAAAAAAAAAAACCAAGAAAGTTGTTCACAATGACCCTTGCTTTATAGACTCTACTTTCCCCCCTCATTGCAATCGCCATGCTGGAAAGGGCCATAAGAAGCCCTACTCACTTTTTTTTTGGGGGGGGGTCTGGGTATGGGGCCTGAACTCTGGGCCTGGGCGCTGTCCCTCAGCTCTTCAGCTCAAGGCTAGCGCTCTACCACTTGAGCCACAATGCCACTTCCAGCTTTTTTCTTTTTGCTTATGTGTTGCTAAGGAATCGAACCCAGGGCCTCAGGCATGCAAGGCAAGCACTCTACCACTGAGCTACCTTCCCAGTCCCTCACTTGTTTATTTTTTAAGTAAAGCTCATTCAGAGATTAAACAAAGCAGTACAGATTACACAACTTGGCAGAAGTAGGACCTGGAGTAGCATGTAGATCTAAAGTCCACATATCTAAGACCGTTGTCTCATAGGAGCACCTACAGATGGCTGCTAAGGGCCTGCCTTCTTCCCTCTCGCCCCTCTGGCAAAATCACATAAAATATGTGCATGTCTGTGCACATGCATTTTCCAGAGAGAGAGAGAGAGAGAGAGAGAGAAACTCCAAAATCTTCTGTTCAAATGGATTTGTGACCCCAAAAGACTAGGAACCATTGCTTCATGGCACGCTCCCTCACCATCCAACAAAACAAACAGGCTGTGGTAACCACCACTGCTAAGCACCCTGGTGAAAATACACCTTCCCCTTAGCTCCCTACAATAGCAGGTGCCACCTTCCCAGACTCAAACTCAGTTGCCAAGAAACAGCAATGCTCCAATCTGCCCATTTTGGTCCATCTCCCCTCAACTCCAATGCTCTGACTGACATGAGATGATACTTGAAAGGCCCAATGCTGGGAGAAAAAAAATGAAGCTCATGATGGCAAAGCTTTGGTTCTTCTACTAGGAGCCCAACCACAGGCAGATTCTCTCTGACTGCTGCTCTAAAAGGCACTCAAACATAAAAAGCTTAGGGATGAACAAAAACCCTTCACAACTCATTACAGATGAACTCTACCAATATCTGCTTCTTGTTTGTTTTTTTAGGTCACCATCACTGCCTCCTGGTCTAATGGGTTCCAGAACACCACCATGTCCAAGGTGAAATGGAACTTCCTCCACTCGCTCCAAGCTTGGGTTCACAAACTTGGGTTACACACATATGTTTCCCTGACTCACACATCAGATGGCCTCCCAAACAGGGACTGTTTTCCCTTTGAGAGACAAAAGCGGTCACTATCTTTAGTCAGCCCTCACTCGGGAACCTCCATCACCCACTACCAGCTATCCCTGGATCACTTTTAATGCCGATTTCCTGAACATGTGCAGAGACGAGAGTATCTTCACTGAGGCAGGCTGGCTATTTCAGGTTCAAGATATTCAAGACTGGAGTAACTGTGTTGTACTGGTTCTAACACTTTTCTGGACAAGACCTGGGATTTTACTAAATGCTTAGGCTACCGTGCCGTCTGGCAAACACATTCAATGGTCTGGCTCTTGGTGAATTCTTTAAGGGATGAACTTTAATCTTTCTCTCTAGATACCTCTTTGGTTTAAGAAATCTTTGTAGATCACTGAGTTGTCTTCCCCTCAATTTAATCATCAGTTTCCTATGGGATTGCTCAGGTGTTTATCGTGTTACCCTGTTGTATTTTTAGTTACTACCATAATTATAATCATTGATGAGACACCGTGTGTTCTCCAATAAGACCAGCCTTGACTGCACAGTCACACGGCACCTTATTCATTAAAAACAGTGAAAGGTAGGAAAACATACCAACCAATTAGGCCACACCACAGCCAGTCCAATGAACAAACCTGACTTGATAAACAATGAGGTACACGGCAGAATCCAGCCACAATTCTTTTTGAATCCTCTCGTAAGGAGGTCCAGTCTATATTCCCTTCCTCTGAGTGTACTCTGAACTGAAGGTGCTACAAACAGACGATGCTTTGACCAGACTATGTTGGACGTGACATTGTGAGTTTTAGAGTTTAGGATCCAAGCAAGCTTGAGGCTCCTGGGATGGTTCCACTGGCAAACACAAAAGCCTAGGCTAGGTGAGTAAAGTACAAGACTATGTGAGTGGAGTAGCCTTCAGACCCCCTGTACCCAGGCTTGCATGGGAGCGAGGTCATCTTAGACACTGCTTCCACTCACCTGCCCATCACCCACTGCTATGGGAGTGAGCAGAAGCAGGACTAGGGGGAAGGACTATCCAGTCCACAGGTGTCTGTGTGATCCACTAAGACTAGAGGAGGCTTGTTACAGAGCAAGGGGTACCTGATACAAAGAGGAACAGAACAAATGATCATGTCATTCACCTATGGCTCTGGCCAAGAACCTGATGCTGTTAAGATTCTTCACTTCAGTCCGAATGCCCAGAGGTTCCCCAGGGTGATGCACGGATATATTGGCATCCACTCTTAGCTGGCCCTCTGGAGGGAGAAAAAAAAGACAAGACAATTTTGTAGAAATTATTTGAGGCAATAATGACTCACGCTTTAGCTTTAGGGAGGGCATGGTTGGTCCTGAGTACTCAAGTGTCCTGGGCCTGAGGTTTGTGTATGTATACATGTGTGTACTTACATGCACAGCTGAGAAGTTTGGGATAGGCCAGCTGGAAAGATCAATATACATTTTGTGCTTAAAAAAAAAAAAAGAAGGTGGCTCAGTGGTAGAGTGCTTGCCTAGCACGCATGAAACCCTGGGTTCCATTCCTCAGCACCACATAAACAAAAAAAAACTGGAAGTGGTGCTGTGGCTCAAGTGGTAGAGTGCTAGCCTTGAGCAAAAGAAGCTCAGAGACAGTGCCTAGGCGCTGAGTTCAAGCCCCACGACTGGCAAAAAAAAAAAAAAAAAAAAAATAAAGTGGAGGTTTACTCTGCAGCTTTATTCTCAAGTGTTTGTTTGTTTTTCTCAAAATATCAGAGCTGGGTTGGGGGGGCAGGTAGGGAGCTCAAAAATGATGACCTGAAAGCCCTGCAGTGCTCTCCAAAGGAATGTGGATTTCTAACGGTGATTCTGTGAGATTTCTAAGACAATCCTTGAGAATTAACAGCTCAAGGGCACAAGCCAAAACCCTTTCTCCTTTCTCCTCCCTCCAGGTTCTGTATGTATCTCCCCACAAACACAAGTCCAATGAATCCTTGCCAAGTGCTGTAAGGATTCACTGTAGCAGAACGCCTGCTGTTACAAAGTAAGGAGTCTGGGGTGGGACCGAGAGGGGGCTGACCTCATCCCAACAGGACCTTTTCTACTCCTGAAAATACCTCAGATTAGAACCCCTACAGAGGGGGCTTCTGGAGAGGCTTTGGAAGAAGAGAGGGAGGCAAAAACCTCAAGACAAATCGAGATGAAGAAAGACATCATCGCATTCTGACTAGATGCAATGGCGCAGGCCACTGGGGGAGATGGACGCATAGAGGATTGGGGTTTAAAGCCAGATGGGGACAAAATGTTAGTGACACACTGTCTTCAAAATAAGTCAGGTACAGTGACACCTATAATCCCAACTAGGTGGAGGTAGGGGCATTGAGGTCTCAGGTAAAAAATGTGAGATCCATCTGAAAAATAATGGAGGTAAAAGGGCTGGGCAATGGATCAAGGGGTAGAGCACTTGCCTAGCAAACCTGTAGCCATCAGTTCAAACCAGAGTAGCACCACAATAAACAGATAGATAAGCAATGTCAAACCTGGGTGTTTGGATGGGCTAAATAAATACATTTCCAATATTTGACAACAAACACATAATAAAGTTAAAAAGAGAGAGAGACAAATGCCTTAATTCACAGAGACCCTTGACTGAGTTATCTCAGCGAGTGCTGAGATGTGGGGTTCAAGCATTTACCAAGCATGTCCCTCCTCTTCCATCCTTCTGAGAAGGGGAACAGCTCAGCCCCTCTATGGCTCCACAAGCCCAGAAAGATGCCTTATAACTACCCTATCTCTACCAGCGACTTCTCCACGTTTTTGTAGAGACCTTATTTTGAATCAGCTTTTGGACAAGTTGTGCTTTTCTGTGTCTCAAGATGCTCTGTTAGCTAAGAACCTTGATGTCATCTTCCACTTTTCTGTTTTCTTGTCCCCATGTATTACTCTTGCATCCTTGGGACCAAACCCCACACAGAGACAAGTCAGGGGAGAAAGGATCTATTTGGGATGAAGGTTCACAGACGTTCATCTATGGTTCTTGGCTCTGTGGATTCAGTGCCCATGGTGGTGGAACCATGGTGGAGGGTGGTGGGAGCGTGTGGCAGAGGCGGCTCACCTCAGGGTACAGAGAGGAGGAGAGAGGAGCTTAGACACATGTAACCCTCAAAGACACTCTCCCAGGGACCAACTTCTTGCAGCTAGGCCCCACCTCTTACAACTTCCTGAACCTTCAAAACAGCACGACTCACTGGAGACCAAGTGTGTAACCTGCGAGCCATGGGCTCAGCTCATATTCAAACAGTAACACTTACAACCAAGCTGCCCGTGCTGTCCTCAAGTGCTTCCCTTCCAACGCGCATCACATGGGGCCACGTCCTCTCCATCCTGCTGTGGCCACCCCACTGAAGGTTTCTGATCTTGTCAAAGGACTCAGGCCTGACTAAGAGCTTTCCACAGCAGTGCCTCTTGCCCTGGTCCTCAGGACTTTCATCCTGGTACAGTGCACCTTCACCACTCCCACAGCTTACTCAAACACGACACAGCTCTACTGGCTCCTCTTCTCTGCCTCTGGGTACTCAAGAGCCCTCATCTAACTTAGTGGCTGCAGCCTACATGTTCCCATCATCCATTCTGTGGAGAGGCAATTTAAAAGATGCTTATGTTGGGCCTGTGAATTAACTAAATGCCTGGCAACCAGCTCCCAGTCCCCCCTCCCCCGTCCCCCCGGCACACACACAGCTCATCTTGCTTCTGTGTCCTTTGATCTGAGTCATTCTTTCCTGCAGAGAGAATTGGGCTCCAAGAAAGACAGGATTTACCACTGATACGTATCTTTGGACAGAGGCAAACTGTCCCTCAGACAAGACAATATCTTCTCATCATCTTGAAGAAAACAGCAAAAGCTACAGACCATCTGTAGCTTTCTCATCCCTGAAGACTGCTGAAGATGCACAGAAGTATTGTCATATAATAACTCTCCTTTCTCTGTCCTTCACTATGGCTCTTTATTTGACATATGGGGGTGGGGAGTAGCTGGATTTCACATGGGGCTCCTGGAGTTTGGGCTGGGGTCTAAAGACTCAGGCCATCCCCACTGGTGAGCTCACCTCCGGTGGGTGGAGCTCCTGCTGGCCTCCCTGCTCCTTCATGCTTACATCTGCCTCATTGCTGCTGCTGTTCCTCATCTACCTCTGTCCACCTTCAAGGTTCCCATGAAGTGTTACCATCAGCTTCTACCAACCCTCCCTCCCCCCCCCAGTGAATGAACTTCCAGTTGTGGGTGTTCAAAACTACCAGAATATACACAACCCAGGCCTGAGAACTGAACACGAGACCACCACCTGCTTGCACATCACCTCATCTTTATGCCCAGGGTGGGCCTGGACGATGTCCCCTCTTTCCCTGCTCAAGGACACTACTCCTCAGGTAATCCCTCCCCCAGCGCCATCAATCTCTTTCTCAGCACTCCCTCCAGTATGTACATATTTAATAGCATTTCTCATTAAGAAGACAAACAAAAGCCCAAAGACTTATTCCCTTGAGCTCAAGTTTTACTCCTTCAGTCATCTGGCTATTGTCCCTCTGCTTTCCTTTTCAGTAAATCCTCTCCAACAAGTCTGGGTTGTGCACTAACAATCTCTACCTTCTCACCTTCCATTTTCTCCTCCACCCACTTCAGCCGGCCTTCTGTACAAATGCCCTTATAGAAGATTCCAGCAACCTCCTAGCTGCCAATCTAGTGGAGGATGTATTTTGTCCTCACCTCACTGGATACCACAGCAGCAGGGGATGTGTGCCCTTCCTTCCTGAAGCATCTTCCTACCTCTGCTTCAGCAGCCTTCTGCTTGCTTGGTTTTCCTTCTGCCTCTAGGGATGCTCTAGTGCTCTCCTTCCTTTCCTAACTCATGGCTTCTTATTTATTCATACTCTCTCTGTAGAGGTACATGGTTTTAAACACCACCTCTGTGCCCTTGACTGCTTGATTGCTCTCTTTAGCCCAGCTCTCTCCTCTGAGCGCCATACCAGGTGACATAGGCACTTCAGGACCTGGCTTGTCCTTTCCCAAACACATGCTTACCCTCACCTTTTCAACACTACCTACTCCTCAACTTCCTTGAAGGCAACCTTCCTCTCCCCATCTCTGATCTTTCCCACCGGCCTATTACAAACCTTCTTATTCTTAAGAACCATCTTGAGCTGGGCACCAGGGGCTCACGCCTGTAATCCTAGCTACTCAGGAGGCTGAGATCTGAGGTTCAAAGCCAGCCTGGGCAGGAAAGTTCATGAGACTTTATCTCCAATTAACCACCAGAAAACTGGAAGTAGTGCTGTGGGTCAAGTGGTAGAGAGCTCACCTTGAGCTGAAGAGCTCAGGAGCAGTCACCAGGACCAGAGTTCAAGCCCCAGGACTGACAAAAAAAAGAACCATCTTGAACTACCCAATTATCTCTCCACTGTCCCTGCCACCAGCGCTGTCAAACAGGGTCACCTTCCATCTGAACTACAGCAAGCATCTCACAACTGGTCACACAATCCTCTTCTTACCCTAAGAAACCCACATTCCTTGGAGCAGCTGAAGTGCTTTTCTAAAATCACTAGTCAGACCATGTCATAGTCTCATTTAGAACCTTCCAGCACTTCCCAGGGCACCTGGGCAGAAATCTAAACTTCAGGTCTTTATATGGAATCTGGCCCTCACCTAACCTTTCTGATTTTCTCTGTTGTCACAGCTCTTCTGCTCTCCCTGGGGGGACTTCCAGCACCTTGACTGCCTAGGGACACATTCTGTGGTCTTTCTTACCTCCCATCCTTAGCCCTGGCTGCTTTCTGGAATGCCAATCCCTAGCTCTGTTGCCTGGGGCCACAAAGCATTCTTCACACTCCCTCCTCCCCACAAGCCCAGGGTCCTTACACAGCATTATCATCTTCCAAACTAGAACTCACTGTCACCACATCCCATTTCTTTGAAGCACTTACCATCATAATTATTTCACGTGGTTATGTACCTATTTGTCTCCCTCACAAATATGATCTCTGTGTGGCAGGGACAAGGTGTTTTTCAGCACCTAGAGCTGAGACTGGCCCAATGGTGGTTGCTAATAAATTAAACTTTGCTGAGCACTGAATGCCAACACTCTGGCATTTTCCTGAGCAATGAGTAAGGAGGCAGGGCTCTCTCTCCCAGTAGGTTTCTGATAGGTTCTCAACTCCTGTCTGAATAGGATTAATATCCAGTTGGAATCATCTGAAAGGCCCATTAAGCTTAAAAGAAAACTCCTGGAATATACCAAACTGCTCAATCAAGTCTCAATACTTAGAAGACAACTTTTTTTTTCTTTTTTTAAACTCAGGGAACCCTGAATTACTCACTTGCTTTTAAAAATGAAACGATCTTTCACAATTTAGAATTCTAATTTGGAAGAAGAATAAAAGCATGAATTTGAGTCTCTCCCAGAGAAGCCCATACTACATAAATGTCTGAGAGGAATCATTTAGTATCCTGCAGTGCTGAAAGAGAGTTCGCTAGCCCAGATTCAAATATAGCATCAAACATTAACAAAAGACACTCTAGCCGGTGAAGACAAAATACCTTTTAAACAAATTAAGTTAAATTGCCTCAAGTGCATGAAAGCCTTACCAGGCAGGTTTACTTCGCCGCATTCTGTCCCACTGAGGGAGGGCCTCCAGTCACACACTCGATCTCTACCTCCAGAACAGAGATTTGTAACCACAAACTAAACACGATACCACTGAGCACAGTGATAGAGTGCAGTTAGCTATTTTTTTTCTAAAACACATTCACACAACAGAAATATAACATTGGGATAGAAAACTGTTTCTGCAAACAGCAGGGCCTGGAACTTTGGTAGGAAGGTCTGTTCAGCTATCTTGTTCTGGTTGCTGAATTTACTCCGAAACGGAAATACAAGAGTAGCAGGAAAAACAAAAGGAAAAAAATACATTGCTTTGTGGTGCTGGGGAGGGAACAGGGCTTCGCTCATGGTAGGCTCTACCACTGAGCCATGCCGGCCGAGAGGGATCAAGTTCTATGGAGCATAGTTCACAACGCTTATTCATCCACATGGGCGGAGATACCATAAAAGCAGTCCTGTTGATTACTGTTAATAGAAGCACCTCTACCCAGTACAGGCTTTCTGCCAGGCTCTGTGCTATTTTATATAATCATTACATCCATTCCCTATAATATGGTTTTAATGACAAAGCCACTTAAACATCCCTGTGGCATTTCAAACTTAGCACTTTTCCCTTTCCTTCCTTCCTTCCTTCCTTCCTTCCTTCCTTCCTTCCTTCCTTCCTTCCTTCCTTGTCTTGGGGCTTGAATTCAGGACCTGGGCACTGTCCATGAGCTTTTCTGCTCAAAGCTAATAATGTTCTACTACTTGAGCCACATCTCCACTTCTGGCTTTTTAGTGGTTAATTGGAGATATGAGTCTCATAGACTTTCCTGCCCAGGCTGGCTTTGAACCACGATCCTCAAATCTCAGCCTTCTGAGTAGCTTGGATTATGGGTGTGAGCCACTAGTGCCCGGTGCACCCTTGCATTTCTAAGAAGGAATTCCAAACCTTTACTCATGAAGTCATTCCTCTCTGAATCTCCTCAACTCTACCTGATGTTTGTCTCTGAGGGTTTTCCTAAGTTCCTACTGCTAGAAATGATAGGCCCAGACTCCAACCCAGGTCCAGGTCCCTGGAGCCCTCCGTGACTACAGTCTACTATCTTTCTCTTTGAGGAGCCATTTATGGTAATGACAGTGTCATGGCTGCCATTGAGGGTTTGTGTGACAAAATGCTTAAAGGATCTTGGACTTCTTTACCCAGGTTCAATCCCAGCTCAGGTGCTTCTTGTGAACCTTGAGCAAATAACCTGACCTGCCTGAGCCTTGGTTTCCCCATCTGTACAACAAACCAGATATTGCCACTCCCAGGAATGTCCTAATGCTTAAATGGGATGATAAATCAATTTTTTCAAAATGTTTAGTGAATCGAGGGGCACATATTAACCATCCCGAATGACAGATACTACTGTCACTGGGATGCTTAGTAGGACTACTCTGGAACACATTCCATTTAAAATGCTGCTTTGAGGATCTCAATAGAGGGACATACTATCCACCATGAAGTGACTCGGGCTTTGGGCACAGTGATCAATGCTCATCAGCAAAGCTATCAAAAACTCACTCAGTGGTTCTCCTGAGTTATGCTTCATTCTGAAAGCACCATGCCTACTGGGCTTCCATGTCCCCTCTTCAGAGTGGCCCTCATTTCCAGTCTCCAGTCCTGACACCAGTGGGCCGCAGTGGCGGCGGACAGGAAAGAATGCAAAGATGTTTAGACTAATAAGATGCCAAGAAGTCAAATTCCTGCAGACTCCAGCAGCCCTCAACACTTGAGAACAACCAAGAACTCAGTTGCTATGCTCCAAGCAAAGCTGCTAGATTTGTGTTTAAGAAAAACAAAAAGTGTCACAACAAATGAGATTTAATGAACACTTTCAGCTGTCACTGCCTCATGAGTTCTTGCCACTGTGGTTTATCTCTTGGCAAGTACCCAGATGGGACTCTTTCTCAGTGAAGAGGTAGCTTGTTTATTATTCTACAGGGTTCATAAGAATCTTAGTAATTCTGAAGAAAAGAAAGCATTTTCTAAATTGATAGAGAATCAATGCTTAGTACATTCAGGGATAACCATCCAACCTGCCCAGATTTCATTTATGTTCTGTGGATAAAAAAGCCACATGAGCGATATGTGGAAAATAGAGAACTCTTCTACTCTAATGTAGTGTTATTTCTGTAAGGGAAACCTGCAGGCCACTAACCTTTATGCCACTCAAACTCACGTGGCTCTTTCTCCCGTCTTAAGCTTAAAGAAGATGATAGAAAATAAGCAAGTTCTGCCTGCAGATTCATCTTTTTTTTTTTTTTTTGTCCAGTCGTGGGGCCTGAACTCTGGGCCTGGGCACTGTCCCTCAGCTCTTCAGCTCAAGGCTAGCACTCTACCACTTGAGCCACAACACCACTTTGGGCTTTTTTTCTTTTTGCTTATGTGGTGCTGAGGAATCGAACTCAGGGCCTCAGGCATGCAAGGCAAGCGCTCTACCACTGAGCCACCTTCCCAGCCCCTGCAGATTCATCTTGTTCAGGACCGATGTTACAATGCATTGCTTGTAAGAAGTCCTGTGTGACAAATGTGGCATTATGAATTCGGCAGACCCGTAACATGCAAACACATTATGTGAAACGACAGGGTGCGAACAGTGCGGGTGCTACCCCACAGGGAGGTGACTGCCATCAGAAATGTGACCTCTGACTACCACAGGGGGCTACAGAAATACAACCACGTGTAGAACCCACAGGCTAGCCACTGAGCTTTAACCACATTTGTGATCTTTATATCTGACTTACAAACATTTAAAAGGTACACTTGAACCTATTTCTACTTCTAGCTTTTTGCTGGTTAATCAGTGATTCTGAGTCTCTCAGATTTGTCTGTGGGCTCTGGGCCTCAGTCCTCAGCTCTTAGGCTCCAAAGTAGCTAGGGTTCTAGGTGTGAGTCACCAATGGCTGGCTCTAAAAATTACTCTTGATGAACAAAGACCTCTTTCTGAGAAAAATTAAATTATAGGCACTCATGAATCCTTACAGTTTTGAGATAAGAAGCTGGGTGAAGGTATCTAGTCTTCTGATTCTCATGCTTATTTTCTTAGGCTCAAGGTCTTTGTACTGTTGTTATTTGTGTGTTTAGTTTGGGTTTTGAAAATGGAAAATAGTCTAGGAAAAATTTTAAAAAAAAGCTGAGGTACAGAGGTTGAACATGGAATATGAACAAACTCAATACAAAGGATGGGAGACAACAAAACCTGGTTCAGAAGAGAACCAGCAGGCAGAGCAGGAAAGGGGACAGAAGGAGCAACACTGGCCTCTACCTGCCATGATTGCCTGGCTGGTCCCCAGGGCTTGGAGGATCAGCTGTAGCTCCCTGACAGCCATGGCGGCCTCTTCTCCACAGCTCAGGTCAGGCTCCAGGACCACCTCCAGAAGGCCAACTCCTAATGAAAAAGAGGCAGGTCAGTCCAGCAGTCCAGGTCCATACACCAACTGATAAAAGTAGGCAGAAGTCTTATGAATAGTTTGTGTTAATTAAGAACCCTCAAAGTGGTTCCAGGCACAAAACTGTTTATCCCTTTCACCCCATTTTGTGATGATCAACTGTGGTCCACTTTTTTTAAACACCTGCTTCAATGATTCCAGCTTTGTGACTAGGAGCACAAGGCTCCCTGATCTTAGTGGTGCAGGATTGGCAGGCCCAGCAGTAAGCACAGTTTAAGCTGTGTTCTCTCATCGGCTCTGCCAGTACCAACACAGATATGGTGATCTCTGACTGTCAGGCTCCTCTGCTGCTTTCTCAACTGGTTTGGGAAAAGTCTAGAAGGGAAAAGAAATGCCTGAAACCCAAGAGCTGAGGAAGTGAAAAGCGGTGAGAACACGCCAAGCCTACCAGCCCTGTTCAAGTCAATGAGCGTCTGGGATCTCAGGTCATCATGGAGGCTTTTGCCACTGTCTTGTTCCAGCTGGATCTGTTTGATCCTCACCATCCTGGAGGCCAGCTGACTCTGCCTCTTCCCAACATAGACGCCATATGTCAAGTTTCCATCGGCAGCGATCGGGAGCCTCTGCTGGGTAATCTGGTAGCCAGCCTGCACCCAAACAAATAGGGGTTACAGAGTCACTACCCCACAACCAGAGCTGGGATCCAGTACATTGCACCTTTAATGTCACATCAGAAAGGCCTACTTGAACAAAAGAAAAAAAAAAGAAGAAGCAGTAAGAAGGAAACAATGAGTTCATGCATGGATGACATAATTGAGGCCGACTTCTGGCTTTCTTCAGCACCTCCTTACCTTTCTCCAGCCCCACTCCCCCAACCATGCAATTAGCACACAAATCCCATCTTCCTTACTCAAGTGCCATTTTGGGGAGTAACAATAATCTCACTGTCAGAGGCCCCCTACAAGAAGAATTTATTGTTTTCATTTAGCTCATTAGCCTGCACTCTGCATCTCATTACAGGGCTCCTGACAGAGCCTCCTTTATTAGGAAATGCTGCCTAAGCATTTTTGCCGTCACTTTGAACACGAGAGACAGTACGTTTCAACTTGTTTTGGTTCTGCTCTCTCAGCTAAGCAATCCAGACCAGCTCTTCTCCCTGACTCAACTTCCCTCACTCCTGTAGCAAGAAATGCTGTGATGCTCACACTCAGCCAATGGAAAGCAACGCAATACAGAAATACCAATGGATGGTGGGGGACTCTCTTCTTCCTTCTAAGTGGAGAGGAAGAATTACTTCCTGATACATCCATTCATCAGCACACACTAACGAGATGGCCAATCAGTGTGGAGACCTGGGCAGGAACAAGGCATAACCACTAGATCTGTGGCGCTTGCTGAGTGCTTGGACACTCCTCTCAGTATGTTACATGCATTTAATCCCATGACAGCCCTAGGAAACAGAACAAGGCTCAGCGGGGGAAGGACCTGGCCCAAAGTCACACACAGATCCAGGAAGTCTCCAGGATGCTAAATCTGAATTTCAGATAAACAATGAAGACTTTTTGTAATATAAGTACATCCCATGCAATATTAGGTTAACACTGGTTTTGAATTAGCTGATCTACCTAGACTAGAAAAAAAGGCCATAGATCACTAAAAATACTCTTTTCATTACATATTTCTAAGCTCCTACCTTAGTCAAACCAGTGATAATACCTTTTCTGGTGGGTAGTACTAGGAATTGAACTCAGCTTTTGCTAGGCAAAAGCTCTACCACTTGGGACACAGTTCCAGGCTGTTGTTTTGTTTTGTGTTTGTTTTTTTTTTTAAATTTAGTTTTTCAGGTAGGGTCTCCAGCTTTAGCTAGAGGCAGGTTTCTAACAGTGATCTTCCTATCACTACCTCTAGTATAGCTAGAATTATGGGTTATGTGCCAATATGCCTGGCCTTGGTTATTACCCTAAAAAAGAATACTAGAAAATGTGGTTGTGGATATATCTCAGTGGTAGAGCACTTGTACTGAGTATGCTCTCTCTCTCTCTCTCTCTCACACACACACACACACACATACACACACACACACAATGAAAAAAATACTGCTTAATTATTTTGAATGTATACAGCAGAACTTACAGAAATGCTTAAAGTCAGAAGGAAGAAGAAGCTGTAGCTGTAGAACTGAGGTCCTACTTGTACCCTTGCCTTTATTCACTAAAACCCCACTCCCCTAAATCTTCAGCTCAAGGGGGTAAATTATCACTGCTGTTTTTCTAAATCTCAAGGACAGTATTGCTATTAAGGTTCAAATCAGATGATACATTATTTTCAGAAATCTATTCTACATTCCAGTTGTCTTCTACTTCAATATTATGAAACACTGGGCTCTCATTCACACTGACATTGGTTAAAGAAAAAAATTTACAATTTTAAGACAAAAGCAGGTAAATATTGAGTTTACTGATCAGCCAATTACTGTTGATCATGCAGGCTTCGGGTTCATGTTTCCTCTGACTATTGCCTACTTACTTGCTCCTTGGGAGATGGCAGAAATGTCTCCAAAGGAGATAGCCTTCTTATTGGGAACGTTACCTCTCAAATGAAGAGAGTCAGTGGACACTGATGATGACATCAGCCACAAAGTTCACCTTTGTCCTACCAGGCAATTAGCACCAACACCATGGCGGTGCCAAACCTGATAACACTGGCTACGCCTAGTCCCTGTTCAATTAGGAGCAAGCCACCAGAAGCATGAGGCTAAGCAAGGAGGCAGCAATCAGGAAAATCGCATCCAATCTAGCAAACATCAGGGGGCGCCTGCCTTCATCAGGGCCGGACACAACTTCCAGCAGCGATGGACGGAGTGCTGATTGGAACATGACAGGCTCTCGGCCCCTCTCCCTTGCTCCCTGCTCCAGAGGCAGGGCTGAGAACTCCCGGCTGACAGATCACAAAGCGTACTTACAGGGAGGTTGTACTTACAGGGAGGTCGGCATAGAAGTAGTGCTTCCTGTCAAACAAGGACTTCTTGTTGATGCGGCAGTTCAGTGCCAGGCCCGTCATCACTGCGGCTTCCACGCACCTCCTGTTGAGAACCTGTGGACACACACACCGGCTCTGCTCACAAGACACACATGCTGCCCGCACAGACATCCTCCCAAGAGAGTCAAGTGGGCCCTTGCTCAGGCACCAGCTCTGGTTCTCTGTCAGGGCAGCCCTGCACCACAAGCTCACTGGTTACAAAGGGTAATGAAAAGAGAGGTATGCTTGGGTGGGTCCCACCGGACACTTGAAAAACTGCCAGTTAGGAGCCCCTTCCTCCAATACCTGACATCAAATGAACACACAGAGTCCCAGAAAGGCTCAGCGGGGCAGGTCTACATGGAACAGGCATCCCACTCTCTCTGCAAACAGACTCAGAGCTTGAGGGATGCACTCAAGGCACAGGTTCCTCAGGGGCACAGCTCAGCAAACCACCTGCTCCACTGCTGTGGGGTGGAAGGGAGAGGTACAGGTGAGTCCCAGAGGATGATGGGCATGGCTTCGTTGCTCTGGCTAGCTCGGTGACAAGGAGCTTTGATTTCCCCATCTCCGAAAGGGGGATTTAATGGCTACCCTGTAGCACGGATAAAGTAACAGCAGGAGCACCTGCCCTTGCCTAGGGGCTCAAGAAATAGTTTGTTCTCACTTGGGAAAGACTTATGAGGACGTGGTACTTGCAGATAAAATGTACCACTGTATGTTATTAAAGCATTTGGCATATGAGCATTTCTATCTAGTGTTCTATCTAACATATACCGTACTTCTTTTATCTTTTACTTAGTATAGATAAGGCTTTCCAGTGAAGCGTTTCTCACATTCCGTATTTTACCTCAGTCATGCAACCATCCTATAAGGAAAGAATTAGTATTATTTAAAGGAAAACGAGGTGCCTGAGAGACTAGGCGACTTGCCTTAAATGCCAATGATAAAGCTAGTTCTGAGGTCCACAGGTGCCTATGTCCTTGCCCAGGTGACAAGTACAGTCCCTGGGGCTCAGGCACTCACTCTCTGGGATAGTGATACAACCCGATTGAAAAACACAGACTTAACAACAAATTATGGAATTGGGTGTCAATGGCTCACACCTGTACTTCTAGCTACTTAGGAGGTTAAGATCTAAGGATGGTGGTTTGAGACCAACCTAGGCAGGAAAGTATGAAACTCTTATCTCTAATTAACCACCACAAAGCTAGAAGTAGAGCTGTGGCAGAAGTGGCAGAGCACCAGCCTGGAGTGACAAAGCTAAGGGACAGTGCCCAGGCCCTGAGTTCAATGCTCAGGACTGGTATACACACACACACACACACACACACACACAATACACACATACAATACACACACACACAATACACACACACACACACACACACAATACACACACACACACACACACACACACACAACCATTAGCACCACTACTACCACCACTACCAACAACAAAAGACCTAAACTATGAAAAAATGTACTAGTCATCTCTACTTAGTGGAATACATCTCTCTCCAAAGAAATTCCTCCCCTCGTGACATCACATTCCTCGTTTTAGGAATGCAGGTTACCAATGGAGCCACTTAACTATTTCAAATTCTTCCCTCTGAGCCTAATAATGTTGTCAACTTTGTGATCATAAGGCTTTTCAAGAAAGAATGCTCTAATTATTGATGTGGTCCCTCCTTAGACCTTGGCATCTCACCCAGGTTGCTACTGCAAAACAAACAGAGATGAGGGAGAGTCTTGCCAGACTAAACCTCGTGACTGGGATCACAGAACACAGATCATGAGCTGTGCTTGCCTGGGGTCAGGCCACAGGATGGCTCATTTATACAGTGTCCACTTCCCTGGTCTGCACTTGTTTTGCTTGCTCCCTCTCACTGTTTTTCATATATATATATGGTTTTATTGTAAAAATACTGTACAGAGGGGTAACAGTTACATGAGTAATGAGTACATTTCCTACCGAGCATTGTTACCTCTTCCTTTGTTTTTCCCCTACTATCCCTTCCCCACCTCCCCAACTCTTCCCTCCCCCCTCCCCAAGTTGTAAAGTTCATTTTCAACATAGTGTCTTGTACAGCTCATTGTTACAATGAGTCAACCTATACCCATTTTGTTATTTCCCTTCCCATCCCCAAATTAGAAAAATGTATACACAACATGCAGGGCACCGACATCAAATACAGTGAAAATGGGCTATACCATGGGGGAGGAATATACAAGAGAAACAAAAAATATCACATAGTACGTTTTAAATGCATAGTATGTTTTAAAAACAATAGCAAGAAAAAATAGCAAGCAAGAAAAAAACCACTTTGTCTCCATCTTGGGGTTCATTTCACTTACCATCATCTTATGTGGTCATTCGTACAAAGCTTTTGACCTTTTCTGCTTGGCCTAGACTTATACTAGTTATTGCAAATAAGGGAAAACATGGGACCTATGTTCTTTGGGCCTGGTTTATTTCACTTAATATAACTTTTTCTAAGTCTTTCCATTTACTAAAAAATGGGGCAGTGTCATTCTTTCTGATGGAGGCAGAGATATCCATTGTATAAATAGACCACATTTTCTTGATCCATTCATCTACTGAGGGGCATCTGGGTTGGTTCCACATCTTAGCTACAGTAAATAATGCTGCAATAAACACAGTTGTGCTGGTAGTTTTAGAATGGCCTTGTTTGTGATCATCTGGGTAAATGCCCCAAAGTAGGATTGCTGGGTGGTAGGGGAGCTCTATGCGGAGTCTTGAAGAAACTCCATACTGCTTTCCAAAGCCTCTCACTGTTTTTCTAACCTCTATTTTCCCTCTCATTTTGGCCCCATCTGCTCCTTTGGGGCCAACCTGCTTCCTCCCTCGAGCATGAAGAGTCCCCAGGTCTTTTTGTTTATTTATTTAGGATTTTTTTTTGTCGGTTGTGGAACCTGAACTGAGAGCCTGTTCCTCAGCTCTTCAGCTCAAGGCTAGCGTTCTACCACTTGGGCCACAGCGCCACTTCTGGCTTTTTCTGCTTATGTGGTGCTAAGGAATCGAACCCAGGGCCTCATGCATGCAAGGCAAGCATTCTACCACTGAGCCACCTTCCCAGCCCCATTTTGTTTATTTTTGAACATGCATAATATACTGTTTGTGCCTGGCACTGGGAGGCAGTGTGCGCAGTTGCAGGCAATCAGAGACTCTCATTGTGCTCAAAGCACACCCAAGTACAGCCGCACTTGATAAGCCATCCATTTCCAAAGAATACAAATGCAGTAAAACACACAAATATCAGTGATAGTGAATATACTTTAATCTTTTTTTGATGATTTAGGAGGCCTGAAGTACTTCAGGGTCAGAATTATAAGCATCAATCATCACCACACTACAGTTGCACAGAGGAGCTAGTAAACAGAGAGCGCCAGTTAAAAGAATGCCAGGAAAAGAGAATTTATTATGATCTTAGTCAAGCTGCTTCTGACAGATGGAGGGCCAGGTCAGCATGTTCTGAGGATAGGATGCCCAAGTGGAAATTCAACTTGGACTCTCCTCATTCCAGAATGTTCCTTAAATGCCTATAAGATACTAAGATACTAACCATAAGATAAGGGACATGGAGATAAATAGGACTCTGTCTGTCCTCAATGAACCTGCAGGACCAAGTGAACTGGATTTCCAGCATCTCCACTGTTCTTTTCAAGCCCACTTTCTATACCAAGGTGAACCAAAAATGTTCATGTGGCAATTGCTGTCTAAAACCCCTTATGGCCCAGGAGGAGGGCCAGGTTCTCACACAATGTAGCTCCTCCTGTGTGTTCGATCCATCCCTTACTAAGCTTTCCCACCCCCAACCTTTGCTCATAAATCTACAGCTCTTCTGACTCTTCCTAGCCTTCTTCCCTTCAAAATCAAACTGAGATGCCACCACCCCTGTTTTAACTTTCTGAAACACTCATGACTAGTCCCTGGCATATGGAAAGTTTGGTGTGGGCCGCCCAAAGATGTCGAGAAATGATGGTGCTGTCTCTCAGTTGCTGCAGCCAGAGATAAGACCTGGCCATTACCCGAGATGCTGGTGGAGGAGGAAGGAGGAAGAAATCCCCGCTGCTTCTCTCCTGACTTCCCTCTTTCCAGGGCTCCTATTGGCCCAAGTCTGTCAGAAGCTGGCTGACCTGGGGGCCGGGCTGTGCAGCTGGGAGCATGCAAACCAGAGGCACAGAAGGATCTGAGACTATGTAGGCTACGATCAGCAAGCAAATTCCTAACTTTTATGTCCATTCTTCTGATTTTTTTCCTTTCGATAAATGAGTAACTAATCAATAAAAGTCCATCTAGTCAACATAGAACTTCAAATTCTATGGAGCTAAAAAAGACTATGAAATGCTATGACTTTATAAGGAGCATTCGGTTTAAGTCAACCTGGCTTGAACGGAACTTTCCATCTACACGCAATACTAGGAAAGGATTTGCTGAGCAAATTAGCAGGATAAAGGAGATAATATAACCTACTCATGTCAAGAAAACATCCTCTAGGATTGGGGCATTTTTATGTGAAATCGTATGTACAAATAAATCTCACTAAAACCAGTCTCTGCATCCTATACTTGGAAATTTTTGGAAAGTACTTAAGGAAGGAAACAGAGTATCTTTCAAAATAGTGTGCATATGACATCATTTCTTGGTCCTCACTACTTTATCCTCATTGGTGAGCCCACAGTGCTATAATACCCACTGTCCAATGACAGCAATTCTTTCTTACAAAGTTGAGGTGATATGGTAAGAGGGGCACTTTCACCAAAAATCCAGTTCCTGGAGTATTAAGATAAAATCTATTATAAGGTGATGTTTTCCAAAAAAGCCCAAATGGCAATTCCTTTCTAAATTTATGTTCTATATGACAAATCTGATAATTAGTATAGAGAATGGTAAAATGCTTTAATTTATGGAGAGAAGGTAATTAAAATTTATTAAGTAAAAATAAGGCAGTAAAATGGGCCTTTATCTTACTGCTAACCATAAATTTTTCTCAAAGCATGAACTCCCTCTGCTTCGTATTCCAAGCAAGTTACCACATGATAAATTTTCA